TCCATTACAAAAAAAAAATGGCACCAGAACTGTTTAGATTTTCTGATTCTTTTTTCAAAATTTGGAATACCTGCATGTTCACATATGTACGTAATGAAATATCTTAGAGATGGGGCCCAAGTCTAAACATGAAATTAATAAATGTTTCATAAACATAGCCTGAAAATAATTTTATACACAATATTTCCTTTCAGTTCTGTGTATGAAACAAAGTTTGTGTACATTGAATCATCAGGAAACAAAGGTGTCACAGTGTCAGCCACCCAGTATGGACAAGCTTGGGTTTTTGAGTGTTTTGGATTTTGGAATTATTTAAAAAACCAAACAAACAAATGTAATGTGTTGTCGAAGGGTTTTATGGCCGGAATCATTGGGTTGCTGTAAGTTTTCCGGGATGTATGGCCGTGTTCCAGAAGCATTCTCTCCTGACATTTCACCCAAATCTATGGCAGGCATCCTCGGAGGTTGTTAGATCTGACAGAAACTAGGCAAGTGAAGTTTATATATCTGTGGAATGTCCAGGGTGGGAGAAAGAACACTTGTCAGCTTGAGGCAAGTGTGAATGTTGCAATTGGCTAGCTTGAGTAGCATTGAATAGCCTTGCAGCTTCAAAGCCTGGCTGCTTCCTGCCGGGGGACTCTTTTGTTGAGAAGTGTTAGCTGGCCCTGATTGTTTCCTGTCTGGAATTCCTCTGTTCTTTCAGCGTTCCTCTTTATTTACTGTCCTGATTGTAGAGTTTTTAAGTACTGGTAGCCAGATTTTGGTCATTTTCATTGTTTCCTCCTTTCTGTTGAACAGACAAGAGTTCTTTCTCCCACCTGGGACATAATTCCATAGATATACAAACCCCACTTGCCTAGTTTCCAACAGACATCACAACCTCTGAGGATACCTGCCATAGATGTGGGCAATATGTCAGGAGAGAATGCTTCTGGAACATGGCCATACAGCCCAAAACACTCACAGCAACCCAAACAAATGTAAGTTTATTAAGACTCAGAAAACAACAAGTCAACCCCTTAGCATTCCATGTGTTCATAGCTCTTCCATAACCCTCAATTCTCTAGGGTGCATTAGAAATGAAAGCTTATTGCTTTAGCAACAGGTTGTAAATCAGAGTAGCTTTCATACAAAGATGTAAAGAGCTTTTTTTCTGACAGCCACACGATGGTGCACTTCCTTTAGCTTTTCCTAATCTTGGCCACTTACTTTTCCCATTGCATTAACGATTCTTGCTATGGGCTGCCAACCTAGGGAAACCAGAAACCTGTAAGGCTAATAATGCAGGTATGAAAATGGGAGACAAAATGCAATCTTGGGTTAAATACAGCTTTCAAATAGGCTAAATAGCTGTGGCAATAGACAGTAAAATACTGGGTTGTTGTGAGCTTTCTGGGCTGTATGACCATGTTCCCGAAGCATTATCTCCTAATGTTTCACCTGCATTTTTGGCAGGCATCCACAGAGGTTATGAAGTCTGCTGGAAACTAGGAAAATGGGGTTTATATATCTGTGGAATATCTAGGGTGGGAGGAAGAACTCTTGTCTATTTGAGGCAAGTGTGAAGGGGCCAATTGACCACCTTGATTAGTATTTAATGGCCTAGCAATTTCAAGGTCTGGGTTCTTACTGCCTGCGGGAATCCTTAGTTGGACTCAGCACCCGAACTCAAATCAAGGAACATTAAAAGGACTGCAGACTACTTCAATCAGAAGAGTCAGCCATAGCAGAGCTCCTGATGAACCAACCTGGACACAACATATTATTGGAGGCCCCCTTCAAGGAGAGACTATGCCCCTGTGAGTTTGGACATGTAGAAGCAGCTGAGCATGAGCTTCTTCATTGCATGTTCTACAGAGACCTTAGAATGAATCTCATCACATCATGACTTCTAAAATACCCAGGGCACAGTGAAAAATATTATTCCACCCAGCGCTACAATAACTTATAGTGTTGTTAAGTTTTGTGCTGCAGCACTTAAAAATAGACGGATTATGATTGACCCCGCAAGGCAACACACTTTTGGGAATGTAGCTAGAGCAACATGTTACAGCTGAAATGCGACTATGTATTGTTGAAGGCTTTCATGGCTGGAATCACTGGGTTGTTGTAGGTTTTTTCGGGCTATATGGCCTTGTTCTAGAGTCATGCTCTCCTGATGTTTTCCCTGCATCTATGGCAAGCATCCTCAGAGGTTGTGAGGTCTTCTTCCCGTTGAGTGACCCCTTCCCCCCCCCCCCCCCCCCCCCCCCCCCCCCCCCGGTTCCATACCTGTTACAATAACCTGTGTTTTCTAATCTACTTTTTAATAACTGCTTCACAAGGGAGCTGTGCTTCCCCTCCCAGGGTGCTTGTGCCCCGCTTTGTGCTGGTCAGTGACTGTAATAAAGTTTTGTATTGTATTGTGTTGTACTGCCTGGGGGAATCCTTTATTAGATGCAGCACCCAAAAACGAATCAATGAACATGAAAGGCAATGCAGACTATTTCATCCAGAGAAGCCAGCCATTGCAGAGCACCTGATGAACCAACCTGGACACAGCATATTATTTGAGAACATAGAAATGCTGGACCACTCTCACAACCACTATGTCAGGCGACACAGAGTAGCCACTGAAATCCACAAGCATGTGGACAATTTCAACAGAAAGGAGGAAACCATGAAAATGAACAAAATCTGTCTCCCAGTATTTAAAAAACTCTAAAATCAGGACAGTAAATAAATTGCAACACTTTATTTACAGGGGAATTCCAGACAAGAGTCAATTAGGGCCAGCTAATCACCTCCCAACAAAGAATTCCCCCAAAGCAGGAAGCAGCCAGGCGACATACAGGGAGCATACCACCCCCCTGCTATGCCAGCTCCACTGGCTGCCGATTCAGTTCCGAGCACAATTCAAGGTGCTGGTTTTGACCTACAAAACCCTGTACGGTTCCGGTCCAGTGTATCTGTCCGAACGTCTCTCCCTCTACGTCCCACCTCGGAGTCTGAGATCATCTGGGGAGGCCCTGCTATCGACCCCACCACTGTCACAAGTGAGGCTGGTGGGGACGAGGAGCAGGGCTTTCTCAGTGGTGGCCCCCCACCTGTGGAACTCACTCCTGGGGGAAATCAGGGCATCATCATCCCTCCTCGCCTTCAGGAGGAGGGTGAAGACTTGGTTATGGGACCAGGCCTTTGGGCACTCCGGCAATTAAATCAGACAACCAGGCGAGTAAGACGGGCAGGATTGATGAAGTGGAACGTAAAACTAGATCTATGAGTAGCGAACGCTGACCATGTAAGAGGAGAAATTGGGTTTGTATTTGGTTTTATTGATTTTATTGATTTTATGGTTACAATGTATATTTGTTGTTAACTGTGTATTGATGTAATTTTGTATTTGATTGTTTTTATGATGTGCCTTTGCTTTTGTAAGCCGCCCTGAGTCCCCTTCGGGGTGAGAAGGGCGGGGTAAAAGAACCCCAAATAAATAAATAAATAAATAAATAAATAAATGCTAATCAAGGTGGCCAATTGCAACTTTCACACTAGCCTCCAACAGATGAGTTCTTTCTCCCACCCCGGACACTCCACAGATATATAAACCACATTTTCCTAGTTTCCAACAGACCTCACAACCTCTGAGGATGCCTGCCATAGAGGTGGGCGAAACGTCAGGAGAGAATGCATCAGGAACATGGCATACAGCATTGAAAACGCACAGCAACCCAGTGATTCCGGCCATGAAAGCCTTTGACGATACAGTAAAAACACTACTGCTCTGTGCCAGGCCAGTGAATGGCAAAACATCTATAATTTGGGGCCTGATCCTGGAGAAGCATGCCATCCTGGCATTAGTAAAAAAAAGGTAAAGGTTTTCCCCTGACATTAAGTGCAGTCATGTCTGACTCTAGGGTGTGGTGCTCATCTCCATTTCTACGCCGAAGAGCCGGCATTGTCCATATACACCTCCAAGGTCATGTGGCCAGCATGACTGTATGGAGCGCTGTTAATAGGCCTTCAAAAAGACTCTAATCTGAATTCAGATGGACTCATTCTTGTTAAGAGTGCATGAATTGGAGAATAAGTCCTATGACGAGCGGCTTAAAGAGCTGAACATGTTCAGCCTGCCGAAGAGAAGGCTGAGAGGAGACATGATAGCCATGTATAAATATGTGAGGGGAAGTCATAGGGAGGAAAGAGCAAGCTAGTTTTCTGCTGCCCTGGAGACTAGGATATGGAACAATGGCTTCAAACTACATGAAAGGAGATTCCATCTGAACATTAGGAAGAACTTTCTGACTGTGAGAGCTGTTCAGCAGTGGAACTCTCTGCCCCGGAGTATGGTGGAGGTTCCTTCTATGGAGACTTTTAAACAGAGGCTGGATGGCCATCTGTCAGGGGTGATTTGAATGCAATATTCCTGCTTCTTTGCAGGGGGTTGGACTGGATGACCCATGAGATCTCTTCCAACTCTTTCAATTCTATAATTCTATGATTCTATGAAACCACAGGAAAGGAGATCCCACCTGAACCTGAGGAAGAACTTCCTGACTGTGAGAGCCGTTCAGCAGTGGAACTCTCTGCCTCGGAGTATGGTGGAGGTTCCTTCTATGGAGACTTTTAAACAGAGGCTGGATGGCCATCTGTTGGGGGTGCTTTGAAAGGATTTTCCTGCTTCTTGGCAGGGGATTGGACTGGATGGCCCATGAGATCTCTTCCAACTCTTTGATTCTATGAATTGGCTAAGGATACAGACTTCCTCTTTAAGCACCATTGCCCACATTCCTCGTTTCGAACTTCAACTCCCAGAAGCCTCAGCTGCCTTGGCCAACGGCCGGGCATTCTGGGAGTTGAAGTCCTCTGCGTCGCTAAGGGCAACGCAGACTGTCCCTTTGCCTTTATTCGCATTCCCCTTAAGCCACGCCCCTCGAGGGGGGGCTGTTTTCTCACTCTCCTTCCCCAACGTTCTAGCTCCGCCCCTTCAGGCGGATCCAGCCAATCGGGTTGCTGCAGGCCGGCACCTGCTGGTGGCTCCGCCCCCTTCTCAGCTGCTTCTTTCCAGTGTCTCGAAGGAGGAAGGTGCGCGAGGAGGGCAAGGTAAGTGCTCCCTTTATTATTGCCCTCCCTTTGCTTTGGTCCCTTGTTTTTGGTTCCTCCAAAAGAGGGGGATGGTGGATGCCATGGAAGGAAGGATGAGGGGAGAGTAGGAAGGTTTGACAGGTAGGTTGGGCCATATATATAACTCCAAGGCAATAGCCTTGCTGAGAATGTGTGGTAACATCCATAGTGTCTAGATCTGTTGGGGGCAAACTTGGTGTAGATGCACCCTAGGCTTGTCAAACTCTTGGATTTCCACGTCCCTCTTCTATTTGAACTGTCTCTCCTGTTGAAAAGTTCTGGGCAACTTGAAAACACTGTTGTGGAATTGCCATTAGTCCTCTTATTTATTTATTTATTTATTTATTTATTTATTTATTTCCATCACTTTTACCCCACCCTTCTCACCCTTAAAGGGGGACTCAGGGCGGCTTACAGAGAAAGGCACAATTCGATGCCTTGTCACATATACATACATATATAAAAGCAATTAAACAATTACAAAATAAAAATTAAATCATCAATACAAAACAATACCATAAACACAGTAGTAGGCTAATCCTGAGCTCAGCGTTCGGAGTTCCGTAAATCCATTCCGTCACGTCAAGTTCCAGCTCGTCATCAAGTCTTTCTTTAGCTGCCAGAATGTCCAAATGCCTGGTCCCATATCCAGGTTTTCAACTTTTTTTCTAAATGAAAGAAGGGACGTTGCCGATCTAATCTCCCCGGGGAGTGAGTTCCACAAGTGGGGGGCCACCACCGAGAAGGCGCTGCTCCTCGTCCCCGCCAATCTCACTTGTGATAGAGGCGGGGTCGAGAGCAGGGCCTCCCCAGAGGATCTTAGGTTCCGAGGTGGGACGTAGAGKGAGATCCRTYYRGATAGRTACACTGGGCCGGAACCGTTTAGGGTTTTGTAGGTCAAAACCAGCACTTTGAATTGTGCTCGGAATTGGATCGGCAGCCAGTGGAGCTGACACAACAGGGCAGCCAGTGGAGCTGACACAACAGGGGGGTGCTGTGCTCCCTGTATGTTGCTCCAGTAAGCAATCTGGCTGCCTCTCGCTGGACCAGTTGGAGTTTCTGAGCAGTCTTCAAAGGCAACCCCACGTAGAGTGCGTTGCAGTAATCCAATTGGGATGTAACAAGAGCGTGGACCACCGTGGCCAAGTCCGACTTCCCAGGGTACGGGCGCAGCTGGTGCACAAGTTTTAATTGTGCAAAAGCTCTCCCGGCCACCACCGAGACCTGGGGTTCCAGGCTCAGCGATGAATCCAGGATCACTCCCAAGCTGCGAACCTGCGTCTTCAGGGGGAGTGTAACCCCGTCTAACACAGGCTGTAACCCTATACCCTGTTCGGCCTTACGACTGACCAGTAGGACCTCTGTCTTGTCTGGATTCAATTTCAGTTTGTTAGCTCTCATCCAGTCCGACACAGCAGCCAAGCACCGGTTCAAGGTCTGGGAAGTTAGTATCCCTCTTGAAGTTAGTATCCCAAATGAGGGTACTTTATTTATTTATCGAGTCATCAGCAACCAGTCAATTATATTACATTTCTAGCAATACAAACAGACAAAATACAAAATTTGTGAGTTTGGTAGTTGGTTAAATGTCCTTTGACCAGTATCTGGCCACTTGGAGTGCTTCCGGTGTTGCTGCAAGAAGGTCCTCCCTTGTGCATGTGGCAGGGCTCAGGTTGCATTGCAGCAGGTGGTCTGTGGTTTGCTCTTCTCCACACTCGCATGTCGAGGATTCCACTTTGTAGCCCCATTTCTGAAGGTTGGCTCTGCATCTCGTGGTGCCAGAGCGCAGTCTGTTCAGCTCCTTCCAAGTTGCCCAGTCCTCTGTGTGCCCAGGGGGGAGTCTCTCATTTGGTATCAGCCATGGGTTTGAGCCTGCCACTTTTGGACTCTCGCTTGCTGAGGTGTTCCAGCGAGTGTCTCTGTAGATCTTAGAAAACTATGTCTAGATTTAAGTCGTTGACATGCTGGCTTATACCCAAACTGGAGATGTCTCTGCCTTGGTCCTTTCACTATTGGCTGCTACTTCCCGGCAGATGTCAGGTGGTGCAATACCGGCTAAGCAGTGTAATTTCTCCAGTGGTGTAGGGCGCAGACACCCTGTGATAATGCGGCATGTCTCATTAAGAGCCACATCCACTGTTTTAGTGTGGTGAGATGTGTTCCACACTGGGCATGCATACTCAGCAGCAGAGTAGCACAGCACAAGGGCAGATGTCTTCACTGTATCTGGTTGTGATCCCCAGGTTGTGCCAGTCAGCTTTCCTATGATATTCTTTCTAGCACCCACTTTTTGCTTGATGTTCAGGCAGTGCTTCTTGTAGGTAAGAGAACGGTCCAGAGTGACTCCCAGGTATTTGGGTGGTACTGAGGCAACCTTAAACACCGATTTGCCCATTTCAGTACATGAAAGCATATGTCTTTGAGGTGCTAGTTTTTAATAATAATAATAATAATAATAATGCTTAAAATATTTATTTATTTACTAGCTGTCCCCTGCCACACGTTGCTGTGGCCCAGTCTGTGTATATGTGTTTTGTGTGTATGTATATGTGTTTGCATATATAAGTGTGTGTGTTTTGTGCATGTGTTGTAATGTATTTTTTTGGTTTTTTTGGCTTTTTAAGCTTCTTCTGCTGTGATTTTCCATGTTTTTATGAGTGATAGTAACTCGTTGGCCTGATAGGTGTCTTGTGTCCAAATTTGAGGTCATTTCGTCCAGTGGTTTTTGAGTTAGGTTAATCCCACAAATGAAAAATATATTTTTATTTATATAGACTAGCTGTACCCACCACATGTTGCTGTAGTCAACCTTCCCTCTCTCTTTCTCTCCTTTTCTTTCTTTCTTTCTCTCTCACTTTCCTTCCTTCCCCCTTTCTTTTCCCTTCTCCTTTCTTCCTTCTCTACCTCTTTCTTTCTTTCCTTCCTTCCTTCCTTTGCCCTTTGGTTCCATACTTCTCTTTCCTTCCTTCCCTCTTTCTCCCTCAAGCTGTGGAAGGGCTGAATTATAATTTGAAAAAAAACAACAACATGAATGAATTTGTATGCACACTACACATATCTTATTTGTAGTGCAAAAAACACTTTAAAACAATACAATAATATAAATGAAGATCTATTTTAACAAATATAGAATTACTAGTATTTCAACAGGAAGTGTAGACCTGTTTTTGGCTGATGAGATAGGATTGTTTTTGTTGTTGTGTGCTTTCAAGTCATTTCAGACTTTGGTTGACCCCTGAGTGAGGGCCGGGTAAATGACCTTGGAACTCCGTATCCGGCCCCCTGGCCTTAGTTTGAGGACCCCTGGCCTAGAGTGTTGAGAGGGTTGGGCCGAGACTGGTGCAGAGAAAGAAGCATGGGGTCAGAGGAATGGTAAAGTACAGAACCAGTCCCACCAATGGTCATACTGGGGGCTGGGGCCACTCATTTCCAGGTCCTATGAAAGGGACTATACAAAAAGGTATGGGCCAGAGGTAAAAGTGCTCTGAGAGGACAGAGATCCGGGGGTAATGGATGGAGTGCAAGGCAAAGTCTTAACTATTGGTTAGGGTCTGGGACTTGCTCCATGACTCCTTGTATATGCTGCAACAGACTCAAGATAGTTGAGTGGGTGTTTCCGTTGTGCTCTTCCTGCTTCAAAGCTGATTTTCTGAATAATTCCACAGACTATTTATATTTAGTACTATTCCGAAGCATGTGAATTATTCTGCCTATGCTCTCTTGATGATCCTAACAATCACTTGAGATGTCACTGTCTGCAAGTTAAAAATTTAGATATTATGGGCCCCTTCCACACAGCTGTATAAAATCCCATATTGTCTGCTTTGAACTGGATTATATGGCAGTGTGGATTCAGGGCTCCTCCACACAGCCCTATATCCCAGAATATCAAGGCAGGAAATCCTACATTATCTGAGGCCCCTTCCTCACAGCTGCATAGAATCCCATATTTTCTGCTTTGAACTGGAATATATGGCAACGTGGACTCAAATAACCCAGTTCAAAACACATATTGTGGGATTTTCTGACTTGATATTCTGGATTATATGGCTGTGTGAAAGGGCCCTTAGTGTGGATTCAGATAACCCAGATCAAAGCAGAAATTGTGTTATTTTTTTGCCTTAATATTCTGGGATATAGGGCTGTGTGGAAGGGTCTGGAATATCAATACAGAAAGTCCCACAATATCTGCTTTCAACTGCAGGCCCTTCCACACAGCCCTATATCTCAGAATATCAAGGCAGAAAATCCCACAATATCTGCTTTGAAGTGGGCTGTCCGAGTCCATACTCAGATAATGTGGGATTTTCTGCCTTGATATTCTGGGATATAGGGCTGCGTGGAAGGGCCCTCAGTCCACACTGCCATATATTGCAGTTCAAAACAGATAATATGGCATTTTATTCAGCTGTGTGGATGGCCCCAAGTCTACACTTCCCTATAATCCAGGGTCCTTCCACACAGCCCTGTATCCCAGAACATCAAGGCAGAAAATCCCACATTATCTGAGTGTGGACTCAGATAACCCAGTTCAAAGCAGATACTGTGGGATTTTCTGCCTTGATATAGGGCTGTGTCGAAAAGCCCCTAAAATATCAAGGCAGACTATTTATTTATTTACTACATTTATATGCCACCCTTCTCACCCCAAAAGGGACTGAGAGCGGCTTACAAGTTATAATTATTTCTGATTTGTGCGCTATTTTCTTTGGACTTCATTCTGGTCTTGATCTTATACAATAAACACACAAGGATTCATTCAATAACCCACAATATCTGTTTTGAACTGGCTTATCAGCCTCCACACTGCCATTTAACTCAGATCAAAATAGATAATCTGGATTTTATACAGCTGTGCTGAAGAGGTTCTTGGTTCTTACAGATTTCACATATCCTATTCTGTACCACAGGTTAGAACCTCATCACTTAATTAATCCATTGAAACAATTTTATGTTCTTTTTAACATCACTCATTTGTT